TGGCTGGGGAATTCTGGGAGTTGAAGTCCACACATCTTAAAGTTGCCAAGGTTGAGAAACACTGCTCTACATAACCAGAATGGTACAATAAGACAAGGTGAGGAAGCCTATACAAAACAGTGTAATCAGTGTGGTGGCTTGCTATCATTATTAGTACACAGAGGGAAATAGGCTTTTTTTCAAGCATAAAACTGAGAGGGACAGAAGAGACACTTCTTGCTAGCCTTAAGACCCAAGTATTGATTGCCTGAGACTCCTTTGTGCTCATCTTTCTCCAAGGAACAGCAAGCTGTAATAGAGTGTTGTATCTCTAGGAGCACAACAGCCTCGTGACATATACTTGTTCCTGTCCTGTCCTGATAACTTGGAGTAGCCTGCTCAAGCCCTGATTAACTTAAATTGTACAATCAGAAACTTTGGCAAGGAAAGGTTGATTCCTGGAAATGCATCCAGTTAATGCTATCTTGTTTGGTTGAGGGGATGAGAGACAGGATGCGTGCTGGAACAGGCAGAGAGAAATGCTAAAAATAAATGTGCCACATATCATGGGTTGAAATAGCCACGTCTCTATTTCTGATTCTGAAATCCTGATAGGTATACAATATACTACTTCAACGTCAACATCCTTCAACACAGATCACTATAATTGGAGAATCCTGTAAAAGCAGATACTGTAATTAAAAGCTAGAGCTGTCAGTTGCCAAACTACACCCCCTTCTCTCTTCCACCTGCTTATCATCCTGCTCTTTGTATTATATAGAAGCTTGAAAAGCAGCATTGCCACTTTATAGATGCACTGTGTCTATATATTTTTTTTAATTTGCCAAATCATTTGTGAAGCTTTGGATTTTGACTTCTTCTGATGTCTTTCAGATCTGTCTGATTCTGATTTATTCTTCTTCAGTTCAGGATTCAACCAAATCTATTGCATAATCTTAATGGAAAGTGAAATTTAATTGGTATTTAAATCTAGAGCTAAACTGTCAAAGTCCTTTGCCTGGAGAGACCAATCTGCTGCTTCCCTTTCTCCCACATTTATCCTTTTTTTAACCTTTAAGTGCATTTCTTGCAGTTCACAAAAAAGTTCAGCAAGTTCTTAATAAAAAGGAACCACTGAAATGAACCACCTTCATATTCCCTAATATAAAATATTTATTTTTAGGACCTCTTCTTGCTTCATTAAAATTTGTCCCAAGAGTTGGTTCACCCAAAAAAGAAATGCAAACAAATCTTCAAACACTCTAACTTACTTTCCCTGCTGTTGTCACCAGTGCTTCGCCTTTCATAGTCGCCGTCTGGTGTTCTTTCATTGCTCTTCTTGTTTTTCTCACCTTTCTTGTTGCCATTTTTAGCTGACAGCAGAAAAGAGAAACACATGATATTATTTCTCCCCAAATATAAACTATCAAAACAGAAAGACAAGAATAATGAACACGGGGGAAAATCCCATAATTTCCAGTCCATTACAAGACTGAACAGTTGTCTCCCCAAGTTTTCAAAAACACATTAGATACATTTCAGAAAAGGTAAAGTTATTTTTGAATCCTTTGGGATCACGTCTGTGGGTGCCCAAGGATCTTCAAGATAATTTTTTTTGTATTATCCCAGTATACCACGTATACTCTCTAAACCATGCTAGCTTCAGAGCTGGAAAAAATCATTCCAAGTGACCACAATGAAACACGAAAAATAGGAGAAAAAAAAACCCTTCTCCCCCAAAAGAAGTTGACACCAATTCCATTTTCTTTTGCTTCTCCATGGACTTTCCTCCTCTTCCTCCAGGACTGATCTGCTTGCTGAAGGATAAAGACTCCATTGAGCCAAAATCAATTTTCTAGCAGAGATCTGTGTCACTGACTTCTTCTGGGGTGTCTTTTCAACTTCCCTGATTAGTCCACAGCACTAAGCATTCCTGGTTGTCCAGGTTTAATCCTGTTCAGCCCTTTTGAGGTCAACCAAGGTCATATAGATGGCTCCACCACTGTAGAATTCTACTTGTTACAAACAGTTTATTACAGTTTATTACAGTTAAGTGTATTATAGCTACTTCACCATTAAAGAGAAATTAGGTAATTTTCAAATAACATCAACAGAGTGTCATCTGGTTGAGAGACAGCTGGAATTGTTATTAAGTGCTATCCATCAGGTAAAGGAAGCATGCTAGTTTACTCTTTTGTTGTTGCTGCTGCTGCTGCTGCTGCTGCTGCTGCTGCTGCTGCTGCTGCTGCTGCTGCTGCTGCTGCTGCTGCTGCTGCTGCTGCTGCTGCTGCTGCTGCTGCTGCTGCTGCTGCTGCTGCTGCTGCTGCTGCTGCTGCTGCTGCTGCTGCTGCTGCTGCTGCTGCTGCTGCTGCTGCTGCTATTTTTATTTTATTTCTTCTTCTTGAAGGAAGATTGGCAGATCATAATCTGGTTCACATATAGAAAGATATAGCTTATGCTTATAATAGCAGGTCTACAGAGAGAAATGGGAATTTAGATGCATATAGAAAAATCTCAGGATCCATAAATTCCCAAATGTAACAAGTGTGCCATAAACTTTGCCACTTTTGAAGCTAATAAAGTTAAATCTATATGAGATAACCGGGGTGGGAGGTGGATCATATGACAGCACCCCTTAAGTACCTAAAAGGATGAAAATGCAGATTCCCAGAAGAATTGAAAGGAAATCAGGTTTCCAAATAGCATAGACCATTTGGAGTTGAGGCAACCCAAAATAAACAGAGACATTATTAGGGAGTATTTGGTGACCACGAATGAGTTCAGATCTCCAGAACGAGAATAATTACTTTTAAGACTCATGAAGGAACTTGCAGATATCATCTTGGAGCCTGTTTCTGTGCTTTTTGAGAAATCATAGGATAGGCATAGTGCTAGAGAACTGGAGAAGGACAAATATTGTTCCTATCTTCATATGAGAGAAGCAACAGGACACAGGTCAATGTGGACTACATCACTTGGCAGAAGCTGGCATGAGTTTACCAAAGATACATCATGCCAGACCAATCTGACTTTTTGATAAAGTGATCAGTTTAGTTGAACATGAGAATGTGGTGGACATAGTGAACTTTTTCTTCAACAAAGCATTCAAGAACTCTTCCTTGAGATTCTAGTGGGAAATACGAAAAACTGTGCTGCACTATGTTTCTATTAGAGAGATACAGAGGAGGTAAACAGTTGTACTGAGCTCTGTGAATGGTTCTGTTTCAAGATTGAAGTGTTGGGCAGCATACCACGGGCTCTTTTCTAGACCTGTGTTGTTCAACATATTTATACATGACTTGGATGAGGGCTTAAAATATATTATTATCAAATCTGCAGACAGCACAAAGATAAGGGGAAAAGTACTTTAGAGGACAATATCTTTTGGATTTAGAGTATCAAGATTTAGGGAGATCTTGATAGTGGAACATTGTTCAAACCCAGCAAGATGAATCTTAGCAGAGAAAAATACAAAGTTCTACATTTGGGTAGGAAAAATAAAAGGCATGAGGACCACACTAGTCAACAATTCATGCAAAAAGGATTTGGGTGTTCAGAGACGGTGTGTCCAGAGAAGAGCAATGAATGTTTTAGAGGACCTGAAAAGAGTTATAAGGAATGGCTGGAGGTGATTGATATATTTTGCCTGAAGAAAAGGAGACTGCAGGGAGACATGATAGCTGTTTTCAATTATCTGAAGGACAGTGATATAGAGGATGAAGCAAAATTGTTCAGAGTTGTTCAAGAAGGAACAACAAAAAGAGGGTGGGTTTAAATTACAAGGAAGTAGATTTGACTATACATCAAGAAAAAAAATTCCTAGTGGGAAGAACAATTCAAGAATGGAACAAACTGCCTGGAGCCTGATGCTGATGTCTGAGATGCCATAGTAGTGTTTTTCTGCACTGTACATGGGGCTGGACTAGAAAATCCCCAAAGTAGAACTCCCTTCTAGCAATTACATTCTACGGTTTTATGACTGAATGTTAGAAAAATGCCCCCTTTCTATTCCATGATCCTTTCTCTTGTTGATACTAACGGAACCACCATAATCTTCTGCGAGACAGCAGGGTTGGCATTTGACAATTACTTTTCCCTGAACTTCCCTAACCCCACCATTTAAGGACTCTTTTATTTTATGTATTTATCTTATTTTATTAATGAGTGGAATAAATGTGGGATAGTGAAATTACGGAAGATATCTTAGTTAAATTGGGAAATCAAATGAAACATGAAAAAAAGCTAGAATTACTGTGTCAACACAAGTTTTAAAGAGGAAGCTAAGCAAGTATATGTGTGGGAGGCTTCCAATTTTTAAAAAGGATCACCATTATTATTAGTCTCAAGTTTAAGATTTCAAAACCCAGAAACACAAATCTTGGCCATTCATAATATGTGCTCAAATAAAAGTTCTTTCTGTTGTTCTGTTTTTCTGGTGTATAGCCAATCCAGTGGCAAACACCACCAAGGACTCTCTTCTCAATATTCTGCTGAAACAGTAAATCAGGTGGGGATTGGAAGACGGACAGAATGAAACTATACCCTCACTGGAGGCAGTGTTGGCAGAGGATGAAAACCTCACCATGCTGTCAGTGATATCTGGAGCATAGCTGAGTCTGATTTAAATTAAAATCAGCCCCAGAATAAGCCAAGCTGTTTTCCAAGCTTTAGGGGAAATAGCTAATTTTTCCAAGCATTATTAGCCAATAGCTGGCATAGCCATATTAATACCACAATGCCAAGTTATGCATTCTAAAGATACATCCAGAGAGCTGGTTTAATGGGCTGTCCTCACACCCATGGCACAACAAAAGGAGGCCAGCATGCATTTCCTCTGTCTACAAAACCAGTCTCTCCTCTACTCTGCCTTGTTAATGAGGCCAGTGAGCGGGGCTGTCCTAATAGCTGCTGATGGGAAAATGTCCACCAGTTGTACTCCTGAACATGGTGTGAGGGTGGGGCTAAGAGAACAGTTTTGGTGATTGGGTGGGCGGGATGGTTATTCATCTTTCAAAACTTAATCTGTGAGCTGAGGAGACTTCCTACTCCTGCTTGGCCTTACAGTGTATCCCATGGACCACTTGAAGCTCTGTGAATCAAGCACTACAAGGTTTCTGATGTATCAGGAGAGGCTCTTCCTTCCTGGTATACTGGAAAGCTACACTGGAAAGTTCCTGCTTAACATAACCTGCCCACAAACTTGCTGATATACTGCCCAGGCGAGCTAGTAGGCACGAATTTGACTTTAGATCAGCCTACTGAATAGCATGTTGGCAGGTATCATGCAGAGTAATGGTGGCGGCAGGAGCAGGAGAAATCAGTGTGGCATACCAACACTGCTGATGATATGCCATGTTAATGTACCATGTTGCCAGCCATGTTGAGAGAGGAGGATTGAGACACCTACTTGAGGCACTAGTTAAGCATTGCCAAGAAAACCAGTTACAAATAACTATGATAAAACTAAAATTTTGGATTTTGAAAAAAAAAAGTTAAAAAGTACATCTGAAAAATTCAAGATCATGTGATAACACAAGTACAGAATTTTAGTTATTTGGGCATTTAATTAATCATGCTCTATCCTTGCAAGGCAAAACTTCTGAAAGCAAAATCTACTGTGACGGCCCTGCTTAAATATTTTCATTCATAAGGAGGGAAATTTGGTCCTGCAGCAGTACAGGTTTTTAATGCAAAAATTGCATCTCAAATTTTATTTGGAGCTCCAATTTGGATTACTTTTGCCAATAATAACATAGCCATCTGCAGGTGAATTTTTAAAGATCTCTTTTAATTGTTCCAAGCTGTGTTCCAAATTCTGTTATTTTCCTGGAAACTGGGCAACGCCTTTTGAAAACAAAGGCTTGGCTAAGTACTATTAAATTTTGGTTGCAAATATACATTTTTAAAAACAAGGAAAGATTGCTTCAGGAAATCCCAAATGAATCTTTTGCAGATATGTGGTTTAAACAGGTGACCCAAAAGATTAGTTGGTTTGGCATTGATCCTGATTATTTATTTTCCAGGGGTATGATATCAGCATTTCATTGTATTAAACAAAGATGATGGGATAATTCAGTACAGAAATTAATGGCTAAAGCCAAAATTTTGTGTTCACCTGTAACCTTTGGAATTAACTACAGATATACTTTTCAACTTCCTAAATACCTGAATAGCTTAGTATATTTAAGTAAATACAAAATAGCCTTTTCAAAAGCCAGTTTAAATGTGTTGCCATCAAATATGCTATATGGTAGATTTCCAAAAATTCCCATCTCTCAAAGATTTTGCCCCTATAATGGCATTGATCTTGAAATGGTGGATCATATTTTATCATCTTGTGACATTTATAAGAGTCTTCCACTGGAAGCTATCT